GTGTGTGTGTGTGTGTGTGTGTGTGTGTGTGTGTGTGTGTGTGATTAGCATGTTGTTCTCATTGCCTACTGCATTTACCGCCCTGTTCGATCACAATATAATTCTGCACGTTGCCCGTTTGACACAAAGCTTGATGGCTTACAATTGGGAGACGTTCCCATTGCTTCAAGAAGAATAAACGAGAATTCTACCAGACTGTTTCGCCTTTGAGATTCTTGAAAACTGGTCCATGAGAATCGGCCGAATAAATACATTTCGGAGGCTCCACACCCCGTCGTGCATCCCTATCCATGTAATAATTGTTGGCAAGTCTGTGATGTACACCACCTGGCAGCGACGCTGGTGGACGGGTTCGCGCCGACTGCGTGTTCGGATAACGATTCATTTCATAGAATTTTGACTGGAAGAGAATTTCAAGATTAACAGAATAGTGAAAAACCCAGGTACCAATACAGCAAGCTTGCTGGTGCGATTATGCGATTTTTGCGCAAAACTTGGAGAAATCAAATTGTTAACATCTACTCCGATAGTAAATTGGCGCAAGGGAGTCAGATGTGCTGTGAGCTTCCTTGTAAGCGGATGCTTGCTCTCGGTGCCTTTTTATACAGCGAATACGGAAGGGATTCTAATTCTTCTCCACTTTTGGTTGTATGATGAAAGTGCGAAACCTCTCCATCCGGTGTGGGTAGGCCAGGTGGCGGTGTAATACGCTGCCGATAGATTGCATTGAGCTTGTCACGAAGCCAAACCATTATTGGAGTTTGCGCACGATTAACCACTGTTTTTGGTGCTATTTTCGGCAACTGACTGCTCATTTCTAGCCTGAAATTATTAGGCAAAACACAACAAAACAAACAGCACAGTACACGTGTTTTAAAACTCAAATTACACGCCGCAGCACGCTCCAGAGCACAAATGGACAAGTGACGATAAAAAAAAAAAAAAAACAAAGTGAACAAATAAGAAAAAACGATTGTCATCAAGAAAAAAAAAGAAAAAAAAACAACGAAATAATAAGCAAAAATCTAGGCATGAAAAGCTTGCTTTTTGAGAAGGGGCAAGGAAGAAGGGCGAACGGGAGAAGCGGCAAGCAACATGGA